ATTTATTTGACGGAGGGAGACACAGTGAGAGAGGGAACACAAGCAGGGGCAGTGGGAAAGGGAGAAGCAGGCTTCCCGTGGAGCAAGGAGCCTGATGCGGGACTCGATCCCAGGGCCCTGGGATCATGACCTGAGCTGAAGGCAGACGCTTAACGACTGAGCCACCCAGGCGCCCCTAAACTCACAGTATTATAGGTCACCATGAGGACAGATCATTACAACCCAGGATAATCAAGGTATGTTCATGATCAACCAGGGCAGGGAGGCATTTCTTTATACTCCTCACCCCACACTCAGTAAAATTAAGACAAGTGCAATGATATCACCAGATAAGATCTTGAGAGTCTGAGGCTCTGTCACTCTAATGAGGACTTAGTGGAATTGGCTACTATCTTGCCTCATGTCCACTCTTGGAAACATGCACAGGAGCTGATACAGAACCCTGGGACCTAGGACAGTGCTAGCACAGAGGAAATGCCCAGGGAACATTTTTATGTCTCTGAGGCAGAGGGTGGTACAGTGGAGAAATATATGAGCCCTGATTCTGATTGCCTGGGTTTGGATCTCCATCACTTCCTGCCTGTGTAGCTTTGGGTAAGATATTTAGCCTCTTGGTTACTCACTTTACTCATCAGAGAAATGGGTATAATAATAGTATTTACCTCATTGGTTTGGTGCCAGGATGAAATGAACCCTCAGCACAATACCTGGCACAAAGTAAGCACTTAATAAAGGGTAGAAATTATTAAATGAAAATGGCTAATCTTACCTAACTGAGCATTTAATGTCAGGTATTGTGCTAAGTTTTACAGATGTCACCTTATTTAATCTGGTAAACAATCCTCTGAATTGTTCCTTTTACAGGTGAAAAAACAGGTTCTGTGGGATGCCTGGGTGGCTCAGTCAGTTAAGTGTCCCACTTTTGATTTTGGCTCAGGTCATGATCTCAGGGTCATGAGATCAAGTCCTGTCCAGCTCCCTGCTCAATGGGGAATATGATCCAGGATTCTCTCTCTCTCCCTCTGTCCCTACCCTCACGCCTGCACTCCCGCGCACACGCGTGTGCTCTCAAATAAATCTTTTAAGAAAAAAAAACAGGTTCTGAATGATTTTTTTTTTTTTTAAGTAGGATCCACACCCAATGTGGGGCTTGAACTCATGACCCTGAGATCAAGAGTTCCATGCTGTACCGACTGAGCCAGCCAGGTGCCCCAAATAGGTTCTGAATGAGACAGGAGCAGAGGATGAACATGATCCACCATTAGATACTCAATATGCTTATTGTTATCTTGCAGCCAATAAAGATAATGATGAGATCCATAGTCATTAACATAGGAAGAGGTCTATTGTGCAAAAGAGTAAACTACAAAATAATATGAACAGCATGATCCCACTCTGTTTATGGAAGGATATCACTACAAGTGTTAACAATGATTGCCTCTATTAGTGGAATTGGGGCCCACTTTAATTTTTTCTTTTTTTCCTTTTTGCTCTTTTTTGATTTTCCTCCAGTGGGGCCACGAGCATGTATTGTTTGTGTAATTAAAATGTTTACGGGCCTTACATTTTTTTTTAAAAGATTTTATTTATTTATTTGATAGAGCGAGAGAGGGAACACAAGCAGGGGGAGTGGGAGAGGGAGAAGCAGGCTTCCGGCTGAGCAGGGAACCTGATGTGGGGCTTGATCCCAGGACCCTGGGATCATGACCTGAGCTGAAGGCAGACCTTAACGACTGAGCCACCCAGGCATCCCGAAGGGCCTTACATGTTTAAGAGGATCCCCAAATGTTCAATTTAGCTTCCCTTGTAGGCTGTTTAAAAAGGAAGAAAACAAAAACAAACGTACCCTGACCACTTTCAATTTCCCCCTTTTTGGGGGGTGGGGGTCAGTTCCCTCTCTGGAGGTGGATAAGATGCTCTTGGGAACTGAGGCCGACCCATACAATTCTTCATAACCCTGGAGTCAGGCGGACATGAGTTTGAATTCCAGCTTCACCACCTGCTGGGTGTGTGATGGAGAAAATTTACTAAATCTGTTTTGTCCTTTGTAAAAAGCAGGGAACACCCACTGGGTAGGATGGCTGTGAACAATCATCACTCCTTGCCTGGAGCGCGGAGAATGCCCAACCGTTGGTAGCTATTTCTACAAGAGAGAAGATAATAATAACTTATTTTGGTCAGAATAAAGTGCATGACCTCATCACTACATGACTGACCAAAGACAACTGCTGGGGAGAGAAACAGGTCTTGGGGGAGCGTTCTCCTTCACACAGTCCCCCTCTCGCATTCCTGGACCAGGGCAGCTATCTGCTGGAGCAGCTAATGAGGCAATTTCTTAAGAAGGGATTAGGACCACCTAATTTAGCACTAAGTTGTGTACTTTGTATACTTTGCAGAGACCTGATAACCTGCCACATGGAGAAAATGTGTCTCTTTGTTTCTGGCAAGAATCAAAAACGAATCTGTGACATACAGTAATAAAAACGAACGACAGCTGCCACTTATAAGCACCACTGCTACATCCCACTTCTTTCCAAGCTTCACACCTGCTCTGTGGTACCCGCCCCCCCCAGGCAGCATGGGCTGCAGGACTTGAGCAGCTCTCTTCTCTGATGCACCTCTGTAACTTCACCTCCTGTGCAACTGCAACCCGTCCCCCCTGCCTGAGCCACCACAGCCCCTGACCTCTGACCACCCTCTCTATGAGTCTGTGCTCTAATTCCCGACTGAGAAATCCTCTTACAGGAGAACGTTATAATCTGCTCTTGGTTAGACAATCGAAAGAATTGGTTTAAGAGAGAAATGACACGTCTTAAACGTTTTATGTCGACTTAAAAAACATTCACCAATCTTTTGACCCTGAAGGAGGGTTTTATCATTGAGAAACTCTGTTGGAGTTCTCCTTCCCTTTCCTTGCATAAACCGTGTCCTTACACAAATCAACCTGAGAGTTCCAGTTTTGGGTGACTTTAACGTGGAGTGAGAACTGAGACCCTTTCCACGTGAATGTGGAATCCTCAAGGACGTCCCCCTGCACCACCCTCTCCACCCACCGCCCCTGCCCCAAGTCTTTTCAGTAAGGAGTCTTGCTCATATCTAATTCGGGAGCATTTTGAGGAAGGGGTGGCAACCCACTGTTATCAGGTCTCTGCAAAGTATACAACTTAGTTGGACTGGATTCTTTCATCCTATTTCACTGGTTAGCTAAGTCTCAGCATTACAACATAAAGCACAACTGACGTGAACAGGTTTGGGAACACATGTACTGACTACCATAGGCATGTTACTCTTGACCTCTGGCTCTGAGGGTCCCGGTAACTCTAGTATCAGGATGTTAATGAGAGAATGGGGAGAATCAGTGAAGAGTTTCTTGCAGACTGGTTCACTCCCACATTCATTCCTGATTGAATGATCCACATTTGTGCTGTTCCAGGTTGAGGGCCTCGAAGGACTGGACAACAGGACGGTAAATAGCTGTGTAAATCTCCTTCTCATAGCTGACGATGGTGTCCCTTTGCTGAGTTGAAGGCTGAACAAGGAATGCCAGATCCTTGGAAATCAAGAAGAGTTTATGAAACACTTCATTTATGTAGGCCTTGGCTCAAAGCTATGGGAAAACGTGTCAGCCCTGTTCTCAAAGATATTATATCCTATTCAGAATACCTATATGAAACAACTCCCGTTTTTGAAGATTTACCACGTACCCCTTTTCTGCATACATGAACTCGTTCTGATCCAGTATGACTTACTTGCACATATTATAGATTTAATTTCGACAACAGCCCCATGAGACTGTTTTAGTACGCTCCCCATTTTCACCTGAGAAAAAAAGAGGTGCTGAGTGGTAAGGACCTGGCCTGGGTCTACCCAGCTAGAAACCAGCAGATTCAGGCATATTCTGTAGGGATTCAATGAAAGGCTGGCTCCAAGGGGTCTTGACTTTCTGCTCATCCTCACGGATCTTTTCCACATTTCTCAATGTTTCTCCTCTAGAATTAAATTCCATTCTGACTGTGATCCCAGCCTCCAGGCTAGCCAGCCTCAATCAAGTAGAAAGAAACACACATCAATACTTCGGAAAATCAGCCTTTTAATCTATTTGAGCCCTACGAGTGGGGAAAGAACTAAGTCATTTTCCCCCCTTGAGATTGTTTATAAGAATAATGGGTCAGAGGTGTCTCTTCCATAGGAAACTGACATCCCCATGTCCTCAAGAGTTTGCTTGTTTTTGTTTTTTTTTAAAAGCATAAAAGTGGAATTTCAACTCCTGTGCATGCCACACATTTCCCCACCCCACCCTGCCCACCCTCTACAGGTGCAGGTATTCACACAACAAAGAGACTCCTTTCGGTAACTGGGGAACAGAATATGGAAGAAAAAAAAATCCATCCAAGTGGCCACAGATACCAGAGATAACCGAACGCAGTTTACACTCACAACATCAGTCAACTCATATGCAGAAGGGGACACTTTTCTAATTGGAATCCAGAGCCCAAAATTACAAATGGCAGAGACTTGAGCTATCCATATAGATAATTTAAAAACATCCACCGGACACTCCCCTTAATTACAAAAGTATGCAAACAATCTTGATATAAATGGAAAACAGGCAGGCAGCTTTCTTCCCGGGACACAAGGGCATACCTAAGATTCCCTGGATGGAATCCAGGCCTGGACCATTGCCACTCCCTTTTGGGACTAAAGGGGAAGGAAGAGGGTGAGCAGCAGGGGAGGGACCCAGCTTAGGAGTAAGTGGGGAGACCATGGAGCTGCCCTAGGGACCAGAAACATGTTGCGTTGGTGTGTTGCCCCTGATGCGGGAACTCAGTGGCGAGTGGGCCACAAGTGAGCTGCAGAGAAGTCTGAATGCTGTGCACCCCTCGGGAGCCTGGAAGATAGCTGTCCGAAGACAGGAGAAGGCCTGGTCTGCTTTGCTTCCCCCACCGAAGGCCTCGGGACTGATGGCAACTGTGTGGGAGGCGGTGAGACATGATTATTTTAGGGCTGCGGAGAAGGATGCTCTCTGTCTGGACCTAAGTGCACAAACCACGTCTGGTGTTCAAAGGATGACTCCCCAGTTAAAACCAGCCCCTCCACCAAGAGATGCTGTTGCCACACAGCACAGGGGCTGAGGCACGTTGGTGGGAGGTTCAGAGAAACAAGGGGGAAGAGAGGAAGGGGAACTCGCCACCCGCCCAGTTTCCAATGGGCAGACCTGAGTCCACCGCTGCTACCCAACAACCGGGCATCTGCTTCTCGGGAGAAAAAGAAATGGGTGGGGGTGAGGGACTTGAGCGCGGTCTCTGGGATGGGCGAGGAGGGATAGAGCAAAAGCGAGGGTTCCATCTACGGCGCCACATCTCAGGGGCTCGCCTGGGAAGTACCATCCTTTGTCGAAGGCGCCGAGTGGAGGCACCTTTGGGCAGTGTGACCCACAGCGGAGAGCCCTGGTCTGTGGGCTGGTTGCCCAGGGGAGAAACCAAATGATCGGTGCCTCTAAATGGTGGGAGCTTCAAGATTGTCAAAGCCTGGCTGAGAGCTGGTCAACGTGGATCCTGGGCTGTTCCCCTAAGAAGGAAGGGACTGCGGCCCTCCCGGGAGTGGTCCCTGATATCCCCGAACCCACCCTGCCTAACTCTGGTCTTGGGGCTCCCCAGGAAAAGGGGCACCACAACTTCAGGCAGTGTAATTCACCTAAAATTAAAGATGGGGAAAAGAGGTAGCTGCAAAACCGTGAGCCACCCCCTACCACCCCCAACCCCCACTTTGGGACGCAGCCAGATCCTGGGCCAGATAAGAGGGCAGGAGGAGACAGGGTGCTGGAAGCAGGGGCTGGCGGTCTCCCTGGGTCCTCGGCCACTGGGCCGGGTGGGCTGTCAATGCATCTTGCCCAGCTGGATCTTCTTCCAGGCCTCCGAGGCTGTGAAGATACAGGAGTCCAGAATGCCGGCCACAGTGAAGGTCCCACCGATGATGGCACAGATCTGAAAGGGACGGTGGTCAGAGGTCAGTGCTGGATGGAGCGCCAGGTCAGACCCCTCCCAGATCACGAGACGATGAGCTGTGCAAGTACAGACACTCTAGCGGGGTCTGGAACATACGCAGGGCTCAAAAAAACCCCACTTATTGGATGATGAATTTAATAATAATAAAAGTAATCATTATCAGCTCCTTTAAATCCCTTAATCACCTTCTGAATGAGGAAGGGGATTATTAGACCCATTTCATAGGTGAGGAAGCCAAGGTTTAGTTAGGTAAGTAAGTTCACACAGTAAGTAGCAGAGCTGTGACTTGAACTCAGCTATGTCTTCACCCTGGAGGCTGTGGTTTTAACTTCCACTCTAAACTTACCAGATTTTTACAATCCCGTTTACAGATGAACAAATGGAGGTTCAGAAAGGCAGTGGCACTGGCCCAAGGTCACACAGCCAGGAAGTGGCAATCCTGGGACTTGAACCCAGATCAGACAGGTCCAGGCCTAGTGCTGCCTGTGACGGGGATCTGGAAGGGGCGGAATAGGGCAGCACTGGCCTGGATGGACTGGAGTGAGAAATAAATCTCTCACTCTCAGAAGCTTGCGCTGTAGCAGGGGGATGGGTAGTAACCACATAATCATACCAACAAACGCAAAATTACAAGCAAGGCAAGTGCTACAGAGCACAAGGGGGCCTATGGTGCTACCAGAAAGCTTATATTAGGGCAGAGTTTCTTATGGTACCATCTACTTTGGGGACCAGAAAATTCGTTGTCGTGGGAGGGCCGTCCTGTGTGCCGCGGCATGTTGATTAGCAGCCTCGCGGGCCTCCACCCAGGAGGTGCCAGGAGTACCCTTTCCCTCCTGCTGTGACAACCAAGATGTCTCCAAACGCTGTCACATGTCCCCTGGAGGTGAAAACTGCCTCCTAGTGAAGAACTGCTGGAGTAGGGGGGATGATAAGGAATGTTACCTGCTGCATGTCTGTAGCTCATGACTTCCTGCATGACGAAACAGAGCTCACATAGCACTTTCTCTGTGCCAGGCACGGCTTGAGAATCCTCCTCCCTCCCGAACCCCCAGGCCAACCCTAGGAAGTCCTACTCTTATACATATGTGACAGCCAAAGAAACTGAGGCACAGAGACATTGAACCACTTGAATAATGCCACAGTCCTCGGTGGTTGAGCTGAGAGTTCAGAACTCTGGAGTGTGTACTCAACACGACACTCTGCTGCTTCTCAAGCATGAAGCTTCGCCACTGAACCGAACGACTAACTTTGCTTCGAAATTGTAGGGACTCCACTTGTGACATATCCAAGTCATGCTATGTTTTACTCAAAATTTTCTGGCCTACGTATCGATTGCTTTCTGGTTCCATAAAAGAATCAAAGTATAGACGATGGCAGATCAAAGAAGTTCACAGAAGGTTTGCAAGGCAACTTTAAATGTATTCTGCCTCTCGAGCACATACGTTATGCCGTCCACAAGAACCCCTACGACCCGTCACCCGTGTGCCACGCCTCAGTCACACACCCGTGTGGGGCCCAGACAAGGAAATCACTTTTCCAAGGTCACACAGCAAGTGCGTGGCAGAGCGACGTCTGTCCGCCTCCAGGGCTCTCACTTCTTCCCCCCGCCCCCCCCGCCACAGTGAAGGAGCACTTAGATGACCACAGGACGCAGAGGAAGCCCACCTGAGCAGTCCCAGAAGGCTCCCGAGACTGCCCCGGAGGCACCACTGGGTGGCTGGCCAGCCGCTGACACTCGACCACTGGAGGACTCTGAGAGATGGCGGTGCCTTAATGGACCCTCTGTTGCCCAGCAGAGGAGGCCAGGAGACACAGCGGAGGTGACAGGGAAGTGCAAATCAAACCAGGGTTTATTTTTAAAATGATATTTCCACGAGACGAGCTAAGCAGAGGCCTGTGAGGCCCATGACAGACAGAGCAGGGCTGTACGGATGGGCTGTAAGTGAGGCAGCTGACATTCCAGTAATAACAGCCCCCCAGGGAGTAAAGAGGATGGGGGGCACTGGGGGGATTATCATGAAGTGTTCTCAGCAGGCAAGTCCTCTCCCTGCCAGCCTCAGAGCATGACGCAGGGGTACTTCTCAAGGACGATGACGGCAGGGGAGCTGGCTTATTTCGGGAGAGTGGATCAGATGATGGGAGATTTTACACCGCAAAATGCTTTTAGAGCTTGGATCAGAGAAGAGGAAATTGTGACTTAAGTGCAATGGAGCAAAAACAAAAAAAAAACCAAAAACCCACACACAGACACGCACACCCCACCTCCTATACACACACACACACACACACACACACACACACACACACTCTTTGGAACCCGAGCGTGCCTATGATTCACAAACACCTGGTGTCTAGTCTGAAGCCTCCTTTTCCTGGACTGGCCAGGAGCTGGAAGAGACAACACATGCATTGAGGTACACAAGAAACACACAGCTGCGGGGAAGCTGGGGCCTGGGGCACACAAGTCACTAAGCCACTGACCCCATCCGAGTGAGCTGCTGTCAGCCTGAGCCTAAGGAGGCCCTGTAGAGAGCTCCCATGTGCATCTCCTGATACTACCCAGCTCAGCAGCACATCTCCCATTATCCGACATCTGTCGAAAGTGCTGGTCACCGGTCAAATGAGGAGGGGCACATTCTGGGGTGGGGCGAGGCACCTCAAAAGCTGAAAGAAACCTAGCAGCCTGCTTGATGCTGCTATGGCCCCCTACTTTCATTATTTTGCCATTAGCCTGCTTGGGCCTTCCTGACACACTCATAATCATAGGTGGTGACTGGTGTGAGGTGAAGCAGGGGTCATGAGGAGAGGGGTCCTGGGGTGCTCTCAGGCTGTAGTGCTCCCTGGGTTCTGACACGGGGCGGGGGCACAGAAACCTCCAACACCAGGAGGTGACCACATCTGGACTCTCTAAGGCAGTGCCTGTCATGGCCGCCTTGGGTCCTGAGAAGGCCACGTTCCTACATTTGAGACACAGGGAAATACATGAAGCTACGAGACTGCACCAGATGGGGTGTCTGTCTTCGGACATAGGCCGTACATTGGTGATGGCAAGATAACAGGCTTCTCCACATCTGTAGAGCAGATCTCAAGAACAGACTAAGGAAAGGGCTGCTGAAAGCGAGGACGGTGGCCCGGCACCTCGCTGACCCATGGGGATGCGCCAACATGAATACAAATGAATAAAAGTGAAGATAAAGCCAATCATACACCTCCTCACTGGACGTGGCGCAGGGGGCCCTGAGCAGAGTGGTGAGTGAGTGGAGGTGAGTGCTGGGAGGTCTGCCTGGCAGAAAGGGCTCCGCCTTGGGAAGCCGAGTCATGATTGTCACTCACTCACTTACTCTAGCCAGGGAGAGACTTTCAGGGTCTCAGCTTTTTTCATCTACGACATGGGGGAAACCACCCCTACCCCTGCCAATTGTCCTACTGCAGGAAATGCCTCCGGAGCTCCCAGCACTTAGTAGGTGTTCAGTAAATGATACCTAATCTAATCTCGCAGTTGACCAGAAGGCTCTGACCTTGTTGCTAAGATCTGAGCTGTTTCTAAGATCTGAGACCCACTCTAAGGAGAACAATGGGTAAAATACCACTTATTTCCCAGAGCCCAGCCTCTGGGTCTCAATTTTCCTTCTTCTACCTAATTCTTTTAGCTGAGAACAAGTCAATTCATAGAAAGACAGGACAGCAAAGCTCTCCTAGGCACCACATGCAGATTCTTTGCAGCGGCCCACGTCCCAAGCACTGCAAGGGCCCATTCTACAGATGGGATAGCTGAGCCCTCAACAGGATATTTCCTCAGCTAAGTGCCAAGAAGTGTTGTGATGAAGCATATCCCTCGGGGGCAGAGTACCTAGGCCAGAGGTTGTTTCCATTCTTTGGCCAGTCAGGGAGCTCTTCAGTGTCCCCAAGACTCCACCTCAACCCCGAACGCCAAAAAGATACCAGAAGTTCCTGATACAAAGGTACTTCTGGCTGGGACCCCTCCTGTCGTGTGCCCTTGTGTCATCCTTACTTCCCATACCTCTGTTTCTTTACTTTAAAAAATGGGAAGGCTAATCCTCAGCCCTCAGGGCTGCTGTCAGAGCGAACGAGTGTGTCACACACACCGCCGTGAATGCCTGTTCCCTTGCTCCCTCACCCCTGCCATGGTCTTATATCCTGACCAGGCCCTGAAGCAGGGGGACAAGCTCAGGGGAGGGTGGTGAAGGAGCAGGGCCACTGAGTCAGAAAGGGCCGCCACAGCCAGCACGTGCAACCCTACTCTGGTCAGCAGCCCTGGCTCCGGAAATGGAAACAAGGACAATTCGATATCCAGGCCCCAGTGGGCCTGAGAGGAATGCATTACTTTGCTTTCATCAGAAGTCATCAATAATGCCCCTTTGTTCTTTAGCAGAGACTTCCTGTGGTTCTACCAGCTTCCCAACCTCCTATTACGACTAGAATGAAGTCAGCTTGTCTACCTACCTTGAAAAGAAAGTGTGTACGTGTGTGTGTGTGTGTGTTTCTCTTACAGTTTAATTAGGACTCTTAATTCCTTATAACATGGAAAGGATGTGTTCCAACCGCACTGGCTGGAGAGCTGAATCCCTCTGTGGTTCCACCAACACAAATGCTTTCCCAATCCATCGCCCCCCCACCCCATTTACTTTTCCACAGTGGGCAGTGGAGAAGCACGACACACACACCAACATGGGGGTGGGGGGTGAAGACTGTGGGCTCCGGAGTAAACATTCCTGTTGTCAGATCCCAGCCTTGCCACTGTGGCCAGGAAAGCCAGGTCACCCCTCTGAGCCTCAGTTTCTCTCATCTGTAAAACGGCCCCCCCCCCCGCCCCGTGAGGACCACGATGACCTCTGTCTGGCTGACCGCTGTACCACAAATGCCTGGGAACTGTTCATTCACTGTCCTCAGCCAGGCAGCATGGCTTGAAAAGCTTATGGAAAAGGCACAGTATGAGGAAATAAATAATGAATCGGAGT